TCTCCCATGGTTCTTAACACATTAGCTTAACATGTTATACACGTTAGCTTAACATGTTATGTTAGCTTAACATGTTATATATGTTAGCTTAACATGTTATATATGTTAGCTTATCATGCTATACACATTAGCTTAACATGTTAAGTTTTATGATTTGGTTGATTATAATATTCTTTTACTTATGTTTAGAGCTCAGAATTACTCACTACCATCAAACATTCAGAACTATTTTGTGAAAAGGACCAGTAGTTATAATTTAAAGGGAATAGAAATGTTTGTTAAACCTAAGTACAGAACAAGTTTAAAGGGTAGATCTACTACAATAAGAGGAATTGATCTTTGGAATGGTTTGGAGGACAATGTAAAAAAAGCGAAGTCGATATAACATTTAGGAAAATGGTTAAAACTATTTTGTTAAAGAATTATATTTAGTTGTTTCTATTTAACAAATTATAAAGGTATTTTGATGAGACTATTCTTTTGTATTACAATAAGCAAATTAATGTTTGAATTGATTGTTTGAATTTGATTGTTTAATAGGGAGCAGATGTAATAAGAAATGTTTTCTTCTTCTGCTTCCTTTCATTTTATGTTTTTTTGTTTAATTTTTTTTCTTTCTAAAAATTGTCATTGTTTTTTATATGAAATGAATAAATTTACAATAAATAAATAAATAAATAAATGTTATACATGTTAGCTTATAATGCTATACACGTTAGCTTATCATGTTATACACATTAGTTTAACATGTTATACATGTTAGCTTATCATGTTATACACGTTAGCTTAACCTGTTATACACATTAGATTAACATGTTATAGATGTTAGCTTAACATGTTATTCATGTTAGCAGAAATATGTAAAACAAACATATATGTTTGTGTTTCTAAGTCTTTAATGTTCAGTCTAGTTCTGGAAACATGATGACTTAAAAATGTTTTTAAAACGTTTTGCGTAAGATGTTTAATTTAAATTTCCCTCAATCTCATTGATAAATTGCTGTTTTTTTAATCAATCTTTTTTTTATAATTTTTTTTTTTTATCTAAGGGTATTGGGGGCCTGATGGAGATTGTCCAAGGGCCACTTTTGGCCCTCGGGCCTTAAGTGGCCCACGTCTGCTCTAGTACGATAATCCTACATTTCTCACCTGGCAACATTGATCCGGGTACGTGGTCACGTGAACATATTCTAGGCGGCAGGAAGGGACCGCCATTTTGCAGCGGTCGTCTTTCTTGTCGGCACCGTATTATTTGTTTAAACCAAAAGAACATAAGATGCCTCAGCACTGCGCAGCTAACTTCTGTTCTAATCGACGGACTGTTGACGTCAGGGCTCGGGGGATAACTTTTCACAAGTAAGATGAACTGTATGTCCACCAGCGACATGCTGGCTAATGGACTGGCTAATGCTAGCTGTAATGTTCGGTGTACCGCCGTGTTCAGACATGGGCACTGGTTAATTCTGGTCATTATAATAACGGTAATGAAAATAAAAGGCTTTTAGAGGAGACTACTTCACATATAGAGCGTCTGAAAACTACACACTCGACTTTATAATAGGTGGGGGACTTGAACTTGGTCAAATATGACTTTTATGATACATCGTTCAAGATACTCCTCAAGTCATCCTAATAGTTTTTAATACTTTTTGTAATGAACTCAGTCAAACTGATGTTTGGAGGTCGAACTATAAGAATGACAGATGGATCAAACCTCGACTGGTCCACGCTGGTGTTTTGTAGTGTGTGAATGTCAGCAGAAGATCTAAAATCTACATTAAATTAAAAAAAAATTTCTCACGTTGCGATGATGAGAATTTAAATTACAGGAGAACAAAGAGGAATAAACGGGGAAAAGTGCAAATGAGAAGAATTAATTTTTACTGAACATCAATGACGGATGCTGGAGATGAAAACTATGAATTACCTCAAAAACTTTAGAAGAGAACGCCTCTTTAAGTTAATTAGATTATGATTTAATTCCACTATCTTTGCAGCTCCTTTAACTAAACATTGCTTATTATTATATATATATTAAACCCAAAACTAAAACTGAATCAAACAAGTTCTGGGAATTGAACTCCAATCACTAAAAAAACGAAACATATTGCCAAAACATTAATGTACTCATAAATTAAATCCAATCATTCAAAGAAGTTATTTCTCCAGTTAAGAAATGAAAATTTCTTAAATACAAAATCTGAAAATATGCAAAATCTTGTAGCAAGAATTTGAAAAAAGAAATAAAAAAATTGGACATTATAAATCAATATTGTAACAAACATATCTTAAGTGATGAAGATAAACAAAACATTCTGACGTTGCAATCAGAATTAGGCGGAAGTTGTATATCAAGGAGCGTTTGTAAGATATAGGGCTAAATGGGTAGATGAAGGAGAGGAGGACTCTGCACATTTCTGTGGTCTGGAGAAAAGAAGACAAGAAAAAACAACTTGATACGTCCTTGTTAATTACAGAAACAAGTGATGAACAAGCTACAGCCTATCATCATCTTTACAGGTCTCAATTCTGTAAAACAGAATGTGATTCCTTCTTAACTAATATTGATCAGTTTGTTCCAACATTAGATGATAACTATAAAGAAATGTGTGACGAGCAACTTCTAATTGGAGAACTCGATGCAGTTGTTAATCGTCTTATCTCTTAATAAAGCTCCAGGCTCCGATGGGCTCACAGGGAATTTTTATAGTCATTTCTGAGGAGACATTAGAGAACCGCTCTTCCTTGTTTTTGTTGAAATTTTTGAAACTTGTACACTTCCACCTACCATGAGTCATGGTGTCATAATCTCAATTCCAAAACCTAATAAAGATCCTAGAGTGATGGATAACAGAAGACCCATTACATTTAGAAACTCAGACTATAAACGGTTGACAGTGTGTGCATTGTTTGTTATGAAGAATACACAACTGTTAACCAAAAAATAAAAAAGGATGCACTTTATGTTCAATATTGCACAGAATATATACCAACGTTTTTATTTATTTATTTTTATTCTGTTTATTAATAAGTTTGTGTTATGATCAGTTTTGATTATTGTTCTGAATGAAGAGCATCTCAGCGTGACCTCAGCAGAAGTAAGGAGTACCTTCAGGAGGATTAATCCGCACAAAGCAACTGGCCCAGACAACATCCCCGGAAAAGTGTTGAAGGAATGTGCTGATCAGCTCTGTGAGGTGCTGGCAGACATCTTTAACACCTCACTTACCCTGGAGACAGTTCCCACCTGCCTGAAGACTGCCACCATCATCCCAGTCCCAAAAAGCTCTACAGTGACTGGTCT